CGTGAGTGTTGGTGTTTGTGCCAAGTAAGCTTTGTGTGCAACCGATTTGCACTGGTACTCCGAACGTCCTTAACCGACAGCCGCTGCCGTGAGGTGACCGAAGATCTGAGCCAGACCATCACCGTCAAGTTTTACACAACTACATTTCACTTACTGACACCGGACTTGCACGGCGACCAAGCGCCGCCCCCACCCTTTTAGTCGTCTGAGGGAGGGGCAGGTTAGGAAATTTACGGCTCAATATTTAAGCGGATGCATTGGGTACAAGACTACCCCTATGACTTATGGGTATGTTTGAGCACCAGCTACAGTCGCCACTGCCCGTAGGCAAAATAAGATTGCATGGATGTTATGGGTTCCTATAAATGATAGCTTTCCAATGCCGCCGATGAATATTACGTTTCAATTTGCTAATAATTGATTGGATTTAATTGAAAACGGTATTAAGTACGGTTTACTTGTATGCAACACAAACAGCGTAGTCAGTCCAGAGTCCACTACCAACATTTTGGACTGTGTCTCCTGTGTCTTCAGGGTAGAAAGTTGGGTTTGCTCCGGACGTTTTTATTGTTATTCGCAGTGTTTGGTAGGTTTGGAGCCAGAGGCAATCTTTCGGGTTCATGCTACTGGTCGCGTAGTATTTCGGCAACAGACGGCGCAGAGTTTTCATCATTATTCACGATTCGATTATTGATGTTTCACTGACGCTCTTGGTCAGCCAGTATCTTCTTTGAAATTGATTATGCCCGCAAACTCTTACCACTGGGAGGGGACATGCCCTTGCTGTACCTCGGGCTGCACAATCTTGGAGGTCTTTTCACGTTGCTCCTTGATGCTTTCTTCCCGAATGCTTCGTTATGAGGAGTCACTAGCGCTCTTCCGCGATCATCCAAATTTTCTGACTTGACAGGTGGATTTTTTTTGACTGACGGTTTTCCTGTTTCTTCCATATAATATTTCCCGCAATTACTTGGTTATTTATAAGCCCATCTTAGCGAATTATTATTTTCAGTTACTTAAAGTGTTAAATTTATTTGAGCTTCTATATTTAACATTAGTATGATATTTATTGTTAGGCTTCTAAAGTTTTTATGGTGAGTTAAAATTGAAGTGTTTATTATTTAAAAAGTTATTTTGACATTGATGCTGCAGGTCAATTTAAAGTATGTCGCTATAAGGTTTATATTGTTATTAATGAATTCAATTGAATATTAACACAAGCTTAATTTAAAAAATTCATTGCTGCAGAGCTTCAAAACTAAGTAGGGATCTTTCATTATTTAAATGATTACACGAATCACATTTTCGATATTTATCAGAATTAATTATTGAAACAGGTTGACTGGAATTATTTTATGTATGGTTTAGTTAATATTTTGAGGAAAGAATTGATTAAGAGAATGTCTAGAAGTACATTTTTATCACCAACGGAAATATCATCAAATATATCTTTTGAATGCCATTGGAAGCAGATCTAAGGTCGTGTCCCGGGTCACATTATTCGAATTAAATGCCGTATTACTGACTGCGTACCTCATTTGAAAATTTCTCTTAGCTTTGATAACTATTGCATTGCGGACCACTTACGTGTTAGCTCTTGATCGTGATTTTACATACTATATGTCTTAATGACTGACTTTAAAAAATGAATAAACCGACTTTTATTTGAAGCCGTGCCACAAACTTGTATTTTTGTGTTCGTCTGTTAATTTATACAAATCATTTTTTCAGTTAGCACACATGACCAAGAGCGAGCTGCAACTCGGTGATACAATTTTTTACGGTCCTTTCGCTTTGTGTGCAAACCAGTACTTTGATACGGCGTTGTCAGAATATCCGTTGTTGATCATCTGTTTTGTAAGTGTTACAACGTTTTATGAATTCTGAGTTATTCACAGTCATACTTTATATGCTTTCATACATCTGTTTGAAGACTTAGGTGTGAGAATGTTAAATCTGTGACATGGCTGGTTTGAGAAGGATGTTTAATTGTACCTTTGAAACGGTCAATCCATTTGAGTCGCAGTGACATCAGTGTCAGGTTGTAGTGGCCCCTGACTTTTACGTGTCTTTTCGAAGCAAGCTCACATATAAGTTTTTCATTGTGTTGGCCACATTCTTGCACCTTTCGTTATGTGCGTTTCATTCTGAGTCCATGTTCTCTAAAGTTCAACTTCGTCTGTTTTATCACAAAGGTAGACTTGAAGCAACACAAAGTTAGACATGATGGTCCTCCTGGTAGGGCAATGCAAATCGAAATATTTTTTCACCGTTTTGTTTAGAATCGAGACTGGTATTTGCCCTGATTCAGTCTAATCCAATGAATGATTGCTCCTTCAGTGTCTTTCAAACAAATCTGCCTAAATGTTGATAGACTGAGTACCTGGAAACATGAAGCTAAGTTTCAGCTTCCAGATTAGTTGAAAATGATATAGAGAGTAGGTTGAATTCTGCTTTCTGAGATGGGGGTTGTTGAACTGATCCCCAGATGCGAGCTTCTGTGCTATTTATGTTGGAACCTCTTTACTCATGTGTCACATTGCTGATGGCTCATGATGAATAGTGTACAGTAAAGTTGAGTTTTCAAATGCATCGTATCGTTATTGGCTGAGGAGCACGAACGAGAGATGTGAGGTAATTGTTGTTCGAACCCTATTGAGTGTAAATTTGTAAAGATTGCCTTTGAAGTTTGATGGTCCTTTAATGGGGGCATAATGATAGTATGAAAGGAGGGATATTATACTTGATAAAATATGCACGGATTTTTGGATTATGTAATTCATGTTTCGCTGCCCGTTTGCTACGGCATCGTTTTTGCTCTGCAGGATAGTTTAATACTTTTTCCCTCAGTATTATGACTTCTCTTTGCTGACTTCTTTTCTTTCGCTTTTTGAACTTTCCATGGTAGAAAAGTTTTGCTTTGAAATTCTCACCTATATTTGTTTTCTGTTTCAGATCTACTCGCTGATCAACTTCTTTTGGTTCTCATATCTCATTTGTGATCAGATCTGCAAGTTTCTGAATATAAAATGCTTCTCAATTACTTGTCCCTCTCCAAAAAGGTACCAGTGAGACGTGTTTTTTAATATTTCTTTTTCCGTCGGTGTTGTATACCGTATGAAAACGTTCGTGTCATTTTAGTGCCGTCTTATGCTGTGATTAAACGCCATCATTCAGTGGTTGTCTGTGTGTCGTTTATACTCAGTGATTTTAAATCAACGTTCATCGCAACCTGACCCAGGGTGGTAAGCTGATACCTTCTTAGGCATGATCATCGTTCATGGAGGTTCCTTTATACGGTTAGTTTTCGTCTATTATTAGTTCACTGTAAAGTCCTGGTTGTGTCACGCAAATGCTTCGAAGACATGCCTGTATTTATCTGTAGTAATATCTTTTTCTTTCGTACTGGCTACATACTTAAGAAGTTTTTCGAATTGCAACTAACTTCGTTTATGCTACCAAAATAAAAGACCAAAGTGAACTGTTCTGACATGTTTTAATAATTGTTGATTGATATGTTATTACGTTGTAAAAAGACGGCGTGCTTCTTAATTCAACGTGACGTAATCAGTTGACTCAAGCTGCGACCTGTTAAATCTGTCGGTTGCAGTCTATGGATGCGAAAATTGTACTGTCAAACCTGTAGGCCTCAAAGCCACCGAAGCGTTCGATAATTTGCGTAACCGCTGATGATAATGAATCTCCTGGACAATTCATAAAGCTAGTGCGTGGATTACGTCGTAAAGCAGGTTTTATACTCCGCGTTCCCTTCTGAAAAAATTTTCAAGAATGAAAACAACGTCATTTAGGACTTGTTGAGCGATTATCTGAAGAAAGTCTACATCGCTTAGCTTCGTGGTAGAGACCTAAAAGGCTGATATCGAGCGTATGATCACGAATAAACATTGTCAGTAAGAATCGTTCAAGACCAAAAGATGTAGCTCAATACATTAAAGCTGTCTGCCCTCACTAAATTTAATTCCAGTCTTTTTAAAAATTTAATTTACCTTTACGCCTCATGATGTTTTTACCGTCCATCAGCCGGCAAACGCGCGCATCAAATAGCATAGCAGCATGTTCCACCCACGCCTTAGCATGACTAACCGAAACACCATGCTGCGCCTGTTATTTGTAATTGACCTGACTTACTGCCGGTTTCTCACCTCCTTTCATCGAAGCACAGTGGAGTGAATTCTTTGCTCAAGGGAATTTGCAACTAATAAGAGAAAACTTGCGCCATGAATTGGGTTTAAGCCGGCAGTTATAAAGTGCAATGCAGACTACAAAGCCGTTGGGTCTCTGCCCCGGAATATATACTAGCTTTATATTTTAGCGTGTATATAGGCTAAAATGGTTGTCTATATTAAGTACGTTTAGTTATTGTAGGGGCTGTAAAATTGCAGTTTTGCTTTTAAGCTTAAAGCTCTAACATCTAAAGGCAGACAGCAGTTTGCTATGCTTTCAGTAATGGCGTGGTGCGCTGTTGCGTATTTACGCTAACATATAATCGCTATTGGTTGTGTCGAAAGGCGGACGGCATGATGCATTGAGCGGCATCTTCCGGTCTTGCATGATGCTTTTGGTATTGATATGTTCTTGCGTGATTCATACATATGGATATATAGATCATGGATCTTTCATCAAGCATTCTGGATTACATCATCATTTAAATTTTTAACAGCTATCTGATCGCAATGTCTAACATTAACTATGTTAAATAGTCTCACTGCTGAAAATTCTGTTAAGTCGTATCAGTGTTCTCAGTGACACTGCTGTTAATTCGTTGTTTGTCTTCGGTTCCGATGGCATCGTCGTCTTATGACGGTTTGCTGGCTGTAAGAAATTTTTTTGGCTCAAACTGCAGAGTAGCATAAAAAATATTTAAGCGTTTTGTTGTCAAATTTTGGTATTTTGAGTTATTGCTGTATCCACAATCTGCTGACGCACCGAATTGGACGAAATTTCAGTCATATCATACCATTTTTGAGTAGCTCTGATGTTCATGTTTCGTAGATGACATCGACGTATTTGACTAAGTTCTTTGGGCTGTAATACCCTTCTAAACCTTAAAAAACCATATAGAGTAACAGATGTTGCATAATTAACTGTTAATATTCAGACTTATGGTCTGGAACTCATTATTTCAATATAGTGGAGTCCATCATGACATTAATCTGGGCAGGCTCAGCTAAGTCAGACCAATATATTCGACACAACCATTCCGATCTTGCTTTTGTTTAATGGAACTGACCCGTTTTACTGATTTTTCGATCATGTAAACTGCTGATTAACATAAAATTTAGGCTTTATAAGTGCATATTTTTGAAGTGTCCGTGTTGCTTGTTGAAAAAGTAATTTTTATCTTGCGAAGGAATTTTTAGGGATCTATGTACTGGTTATGAAACTGAGGTTAACTTATTTTATCAGACTTTGTTGAATATTTTTCTCAGATGTTGAGATCGTTCAGTATGGAATCAAAGGATTTGTAACCAGTCTTTTTTGGAACAAGATTCACAGCGATCTTGCGTCTTGAGGTGTGGGGCCATCGCTGTCTGAATGATAAGTCAGATTCTGTATTCTTACCCATTTGAATGGCAGGTCTTGATCTGTACCAGCATCGTAATTTTGGTTCGAAGGCCTACTACGTTAAGGTTGCCAGTACAAGCGTGTGCAAAGTGCCGAAATACTGACTCAAGGAGAAGCTGTAACTGGCTAGTACTATGGCGTAACAGTGGTGGTAATGTTAATTTTTTAGGTTTCACATTGTTTGTCCATCTTGCTTGTTCGTTCTGCTCATATCGCTTCCATAATTGTTTGCCAACTAATTTCTTCCTGGTTGTTTTGTTTGTGTCCTCCACTGTTTGACGTGATTCTTAGGTATCCTGTGTTTTGCCACGGATAAACCCGTGCCATCTCTGCTGATGCAAATCATGCACTTCTTTTTTTCTCCTATTTTTGATTTTCTTAATTCGTACAGTATAGTTGTTACGATTACAGCTTCAGTTGTTCAGTTTGGTGGTGACTTAACTGCAAGGCTGGTACAACTATAGGAATGCGCGTGTTAAAAAAGCTTGGAGATGCATGTACGCTGACTGCGATAATATGTGCATTGCGAATATCGACCAGAAGTTGAACATTTAGATTAAGCAACACTTATCTGCAGGCAGGCTGACAAATCGTTTATAGGCCAACACGGCTTTTTCTTAGGGGTACTCTTACAATCAAACCGATGTCTTTGTAAGCAACAGAGACTATTCAGGACCTTGTCTTCTCATAGAGGAATCTCTTTATATTCTGGAACAGAAATTTTGTGGGTGCGTATCGTCATTTAGACTCTTCGCTGGGGGCTTCAGTACTTAAATTTATGATGTCCATTGGACGACAAGCGTATTATTAGTACGATTTGAGGCACTTTGCACTGTTTTCGCAAAAGAAACAATCCTGATCGATTGCAGATCCGCCAGAGATTGTTTTTCCACTATGATGTTGACCCCCAGGGTAGTGGGTTCCGACACTACGCCCACATAAAAGAATCTAGTGAGTAATTTTCATTTGCGTCGCTGGACATGCTCGGTTCGAAACAGTTGTCCATGTCGTGGATGGAAACCGCACGTCGCTCACGGAAACACTGTGTGTGCAGTGAGTACTCATTTTCCGTCAGGGAAAGCTGGGGAGCCATCAGAACTTCTAGCATGAGGTAATGAGTGACCCAGAGTATCATTTATCAAGTTTAGTACTACCCTTAACCAGCTTTTTTGGTGATAAGACGATTTGTTGTCGGCCCATCACTTATGTCTGATGGTGTTATTGATATGATAGCGTAATGAGTTTGTAATAACATGTTTTTATCATCTGTCGGCCCCGTTCGATGCTATTTGCCAAGGATCAAGAAATAGACTACAGTATCTTTTGGTTATTGACGTCAGTCTGTCATCGTGAGTCAGTTTCGATGACCGCTTATCTTTTCGGGTCGCGGAAGCAGCAGTTTCAGATAGGCCCCCAATCTTCCCGATCCAGGGCCAATGTTTGAACTTCGGCAGAAGAAAGCCAGAATCTAGAACAGAGTCCTTCGAGACACTTGCCCAAAGTTGTTCTTGACCGTCCCCGGGTCTTTGCTGCAGTTGCCATTGTAGCACGTCTTTATTAATGTTTCCATTTCAGTTGTTAAGAAAAGTTAAAAAAGACAACGATGTTTCACGTGCTTTATTGCAGCAATTAACCTTTGTTAATTTACAAAATTACAATTCAATTGTTTACAAGTTGTGACATTTAAGACAACGTCCGTTAAAAAGTGTTTGTTTTAAAAGGTTTGGTACAAACGCGAATTGTTGGCCTTTGTGTCCTTGTTGTCCCAGTCGATGTTCTTCAATAGATACTGTTTTTCCTTGGGTAATTTCTTCGATTTGCTGCATATTCTTACACAGAAGCTGATCAGCAGGCCCACAAGTGCAAACGATACTACCAGTAGCGCAACGTAAACCCTCAAATTTCGTTTCGGTGTGATTTTCTCGTCTATAAAATCGATGGGTTCTTCGGTTACAACATTTAGCTCTCCAGCAGTATTCATTTGTTTTCGAGGTGGATCCAGAGTGACAACGGCCGTGGCTGAATTCAGTTGGCTGAGGCTTCGGTTTCTGTCCATTCTGTCGATTTCGAGGA